CCCCCCCCCCCCCCAATTTCTGGAACTTTACCTCTTTAGTGCAGATTAGTGGGTGATCAGTTTCAGTGTAACTTAGCAGAATGTTGTCAGTAAAGCTGAGGATATCAAACCATGCTAGTGATTATGGAATACCTTTGCTTTTTTGCAGCTGCGGTATCAGAAGTGCTTGGTAGCCAGACCTCCTTCACAAAAAGTCCGGCCACCACCTCCTCCTGCAGACTCAGTGACCAGAAGAGTCACAAGTAATGTAAAACGAGGAGTACTGTCCCTCATTGACACTTTGAAACAGAAACGCCCTGTTACTGATACACCGTAGCAGCTCTGCAGGAAAACAGGATCTTCTAGAACCTAGATGAACATCTCCCAGAAGATACAGTAGCCCCATGAAAGAAGATGAACTGAATCTTGGCCTTCCAGTTTAAATTGGTGATGCTTTGTCTTCAGATAATTTACCCTTATGAAAATAATATTAGACAAGCATGTTCTCTTGTTCTTGCCACCATCATGTGATATGAAAAGAAGCATGAGTATTTTTTATTTTTTTTTATTTTTTGCTGTGAGTTACACATGAGAAGTGGAAGGTCTGTTTTCCGCCTGTAAATATTATGAGCATTACTTAAATCCGCACATACACGAGAAAGGATAATGGCACATCACTCCTAATCCATGGAAAGAACCATGTCTAGATTGCTACTCATCGTCACCATCCCGAGCTGGAATTGTCACAAACAGTCCTTAAATCTTACAGCACTTTGTTGTAACTTGACACTTAAATTCATACATTAATATTACTGTAATATGAATACTGAGATTTTAAAACATTTTTTTACAAATAGTATTCATTAATCACACTTCCATCTTGTACACCAATGGTTCCGAACTTTGGGTCCCCAGATGTTCTTTGAGTACAAGTCCCAGAAATCCTGGCCAGCACACCTAGTGGTGAAGGCTTCCGGGAGTTTTAGTCCAGAAATACCTGCAGACCTAAGGATGGGAACCACTATTGTACACCATAATCATTCTTAAAATTTTGTCTGCAGGTTAAATACACTTCAGCATGACAAGCTGCCCAAACAGGTAGCACCTCTATTTATATTTTTTTTAGTATGCCCCTTACCATCCCTTCCTGATGGGTGCATGTGTGTGTCTGTATGTTTGTGTATACATACATAGAAAGCAAACTTAGGGTTTCAACATTGTCACATGGTATCTACATGTGTGGGGATGTAGGTTTTTTGGGAGGTGCTCTTTTTTTCTTCCGTGGAACTGCTGTCTATGTAGGAAGCCTTCAGTCTTGAAATTGTCTGAGTTTGGACTCAAAACCATATTTAAGAATTCTGAGACAAAAAAGCTGATAGAACATATTAGTTTTTCATTCTGAAGCAGATGATCTTCAGTGCTGCTGCCTCTAAGGCTCAAGAGCCTCTTCCATTTTAAAAAATACTAGGTTTTGCATCAGTTTATTTTCTTCCTGGTAGAAACAAAGTTAGATTGGAATGTCATCTGTTGTCTTTCTTACTAATACAATTGTCAGACTGTCCACAAATTTTTCCTTGAGTTTTAATGTTCAAATTGTGGCCTCATATTTCATCTCTTCTCAGCAGGGCTGAGAGGTGAGCTAGTGGTTTAATGTTACACCTAAATGATGGGGGGGGGCGGGACAGCATTCCCTTCTAATATTAAGCCTTTTGAGAAGATGTATTTTCTTACGTCTTTAAATTAAGAAAGTAGACATTCTCTTATAGACTTCACATGTAATGTAAACCGATTACAATGCTGAGAGTCATAACATTCCAAGGAAAACTTGTCAGGTTGTAGCTCCCAGTGTCAAACAGTATTGATGGCTCCTCGTAACAGCACCTTACACTGTGTGTTGTGGTAAGTTATTGTAGCAGGAGATTCTTTGACATTTTTCTTGTGTACTGATGTATTCATGTGTACCATATGCAGCACAACTTCACCTGCACAACTGTCAAAGGAAAAAACACTGAAACCACATTTATGCTGTGGTCAGTCAGTCAAGTGCTGGAGCAATAGCAGAAATGAGGTTGGTTCAGGCATACAGTAGTCCTAGCCTTTATCATGCCAAACATAGAGGGCAAAGAAGCCAATTAAGGGTTTGTCTCCCTTCCCCATAACAGACATTCTTTTAAGAACTGAAGTACAGTGGACCCTCTACTTACGGAATTAATCCGTATTGGAACGGTGGCTGCAAGTTGAAAAGTCTATAGGTCGAATCTCCATTGACCTACAACGCATTGAAAACCGATTAATCCCATAACTGGCAGTTTTTATTCTATTTTTGTTACATTTTGTTTTGTTTTGTTTTTTTCTGGTCTGTAAGTCGATTCTCCGGCTGCAAGTCGAATCTAAATTTTGCGGCCAGAGAAGTCTGTAACTCGAAAAGTCTGTAAGTCGAGGGTCCACTGTACCCATAAATGCCTACTCAAGTAAGCCCACTCAAGTCAACTGCCTACCCTTCTAAGAGATGACTAGGAGCTTATCAGCTTCTGTTTTTGCACAAAACCTATGAAGTGCAGAACAAGAATGGCTTATGAGCCCAAGTCTTTTCCCTCTGCCACATGTACAATCATGTAACCATATGTAAATCAGCCTGTAGCTGTCTTCCTTTGCCCAATCGAATACAGTTGGAGGGCACTAGGTGAAGGGAAGCTATCTGTCACTGTGATATGCCAACAATTTGTACTATCAGGAAGTAAGCACGTTGCCATATGTTTAAAGATCAGAATTACTGACAGATTACAGGGTTATGCACAAATGCTGCTTCCATTTAGGAAGCTTGTACATAAGGAATACTCAAATCTGCTTTGTCTTCATTTGAAGCTATGACTAATTATAGCTTCCCACTCTGAGCACACGCAACAAAGCAGACATGTGTACCATGCATGCATGAGGTGTACATGCATGCTGTTCCTACAGAAAAATGAGCAAGAGTAGACAGTAGCTCCCTGCAAGCTGGAGAATACTGTTAAAGCTACTGGAAATGGCAGAATGTAGAAAACTAATGTGAACTGCTTTAAAAACAAACAACAAAAAACTAATCTCCACAAGTATGTCTCTCACACATCCCAAAAAGGATGTGTCTTTCTTTTCATGCCTATCTGGGGAATAACTGCTGCCAAGTCATGAATTGTCCTACTTTAAATTTTTCAATACCAGAGGCAAGTTAAGGCTGTTTGAAGCATGCTCTAGCACTTGATGACTGGAACATAAATTAATTACTTGCATGTGTAGTTATGCCATCCATACCACATGCTTTTCATATCCCCTAAAATAACACTGCTTTTCTGCAGACACTTCACAAATTAAGCTGAAGATCATCAAATGAGGAATTATCCTATGTGCATGTGTGAACTAACCCAGTGTTCAAGATCTACAAGATGGAAAACATTTAAGAATGAGCTTCCTTTAAAGGATAAACATTGTTGCGCAGGAGAACAGACGTGAACTGACATACAGATGTCATTTTAGTTGGAAAAACACCTGTTTAATATTCTAGTTAACTGACATCTCTGCCTATGCAAAGCAAATATAGGGCAATTAATCTTCTGTACAGGAAAGTTAAAGTTACTTGGTGTTGTACGTGCTGAAGTGACAAATCAAGTACATAATACTTTTAAAGTGGGCAAATGCTTTGGTCATTTTTAGTCAATTCTGTTTTCAGTTCTCTTTTGAAGAAAGAATCTTAAACCTTCCTGTTTTCACAGAAAGTAAATGCTGGTTAACTGCTGGAAGCATTATTACCATTAATTCTTTGTCAAGAATTGAGTAAATGGTACAGGAGGTTTTTGTAAAAATCTTATATGTCCCCTGATTTTACCTGCTTGAAATAATAGGAAACCTTAACTTTTCTGAATTTATCTAATTGGCCATCTTTTTCCCCCCTGGACTAGCACCTCCTTCAAACCGAATCAGACAGGTGGCTGGACATGACCTGTGGAATTACTGAGAACACAAAGTGTGTCCCCTGCCCTCCAGCCTACTTTCTAGAGTATTTGCTTTATTCTAAAGTGCTTTTAAGCTTATGATTAATTTTGTTATTTTGCAGTGGCCGAAAGTAGTATCCTCAATCTTTACAAGCGAGTTTTAAAAAAATATACATATCCCAAACAATTATGTAACTGATCATGTTTTATAGATTCTCCACATGCACAGAAGTACTCTTCCCCCCCCCCCAATACAAGATGTTGAGTGAAAATGGTAAGGAAGGCCATCATCTTTTTTGCTCTGCTTCTGAGCATCTAGAGGCAATAGGTTGGCTGCTGTTAGAAAGCAATTGCTGGACTAGTTAGAGCTTGGCCTGATCCTGCAAAGCAATTATTACCATAAAAACATACAAGCTTTTAAAAAAAATCTACCATGGCCAAAATGTATGTATGGGTTGAGTGTGAGCAAATGCCAATGACTTTACTCAATGTTGTAGTGATACTTCTGTTATCTATGCATTCTTTATATCTTGCAAGGCAGCCATGTTCACTATGCCTTGGATGTTTCATGTCTTTTTTTGATTAACCTGTTAAATACAGCTTAAATATTTTATTTTATTTATTCTATTTTTACTGAAATATTCAATTATGTTGACATATCTTTATTACTGGATGTGATCTCGCAAATATATCCAGTGCTAAGTAATCTCAGTGTACTATAGGTTGCCAAAAGACAGAGGATTTTTGTAATTATTTGTATTCACCTTTTTAATTAAGTATGTAGAAGTAAATGGCAAAATAATGTGTAAAGCTAACTTCTATTATTTTTTAAAATACAAAAATCAATTTAGATGCTGCTCTCACAGACCACCTAATTCATCTACTCCACTTGAAGGGAGGGAAGAGATTGTTAGCCACAGTCATTTGTAATAGATTAATGCCTTTCTTCTCCCCGTCTCTACCCAGGGCAGTTCTTTGATGCTGTTTATTTCTCTGTTCATAAACACAAAGTACTGTTTCTTTAAATAAGTTTTTCATAAAAATCAAGAACCATCTAAATGGGAAAGAAATTGCATGAAATGATATAAATCCTACTTTTCTTACATGTGGAGTTCTGAATGATAAACTTTGTGTGCAGAGGTATGCTGGATTAAAGCGAGAAACCCTCCAGAAACCTAAATAAGCCAACTGCACCAATCTTAAGTGTCTTAAGAACATATTTTTTAAAAAGTCTGAAGTTAATGAAACATGGGTATTAAACCAATAACATGTGGAAGAAAAGTGCTATTTGTATGGCATTAGCTCTTTAACCAGCCTTTTAGAGCTCTGCTAATGCCATTATTAGTTTCTCTTTGGCATGCATGATTGTTTTGACAGAAGTGTGAATTAACAGGCATTTGTTTTTTTCTCACTATCTGCAAAAGAGAAAAGGAAATACACAGAGTTTATCAGCAGGAACTCTCAGTATTGTATGAAGTAGTTGATTTTTAAAAGGATATTTTCCCCAGCATTGTCCACTTTTTACACATTTAAATGTAATCTGTTGCAAGAATAAATTTAGCTGCATTAAGAGCTTGTTTTGTGTTCCTGCCAGTTACTTCTTTCCACAGTGTCTTTTCAGAGGGAAGCCTACCATTTGGGAGGCTACCTAGAAAAAGCACCACTGCTACAAATACTTGTATCATGTTAGCAAAAGAAATACAGACAGACCCTCATTTCTTTTCTATCATGTGCAGCATGAAATTGAACTAATTTTACAGAGCTGGAGGAAGTGAGTAAAAGAAATTAGAGAAATTTTAGAATATTTAAATTTTCAGCTAATATTTCAAACATTTTTCTTAAAATATTGGCTAATTCAATGTGGAATGCACTAAACCAGAAGAGATCTACAGTCTTTGCCTTCTTCCTGGAATTATTATAATACTGGTCTGTTCAGCAGTGTTTCCAATGGGATAATTACGAATGAACGATGAATCTACTTCCATACAAGGTACTGCTGTTCCATAAGGTCGGTATGGGTGTATGCACATGCAAGATAAGTTACATTGTTATTCTGATGTTGTGTGGGTGAGACAGAAATATAGCTTGGTACAAGAGAGGTTAACAGCAGCCTTCTACCATCCATAGCAAACTGCTTCTCAAATTATGCAAGTTTCTAAACTGTGATATAGATTTGCAATGTTAAAAAAAATTGTACTGGACCTAGTACATGAGTCTTAGAACTGCAGAGGTGGAAGAAACCCTAAGGATCATTGAGTCCAGTTCTACTAAGGAAGCATAGTGGGGAATCAGACTTCAAATTTCTGGCTCTGCAATCAGATACATAAATAAATCACTGAGATACCCAGCAGTTCATTGCAAGAATACATTAGAACATGGAATGTTCACCTCCCTTTTTCTGGGAAAAAATTCCCTCTGCTTCTGGATCTCTTCGTACCCTACTTGCAGGCCAGCCCACACCACATAATAATCTAGATTTGGTACATGCCATGCATTTTGCTGAACTTACCTTATTCCCCAATTTGGGACTCTAGCTAAGTATTAAAAATGTATTATTTTATCAAATTATACTGTATAGTAAAAACTGGTTCTATGCTAAAAAAATCATGCTTACCCGCATACTTAGCAAGATAATTCTCTTTACACCACAATATATTTGAACGGTAGTTCCACCGTGATTGATAGGCAATTTGAAAATGTGGCAAATCTAGGCATCTCAGCTAAATGCATTTATTATATATATATATATCTGATATACAATAAACATATTTGCACCCTGCTATCACTATATAAAAGATGGCTGGGATGCAAAATGAATATCACATCAGTACTGGCAATGGGATATGGTCCTTCATAACCAAGGGTAGAATTAGTTAAAAGCAATGGTTATTAATCTTGGATCCCCATATGTTTTTGGATGAATATTCTCAGGAGCCTTCACCACTAGCAGTGTTGATTAGGATTTCTGCGAGTTGTAGTCCATGAATATCTGGGGAACCAAGGTTGGGAAGCACTGGTTTAAAGCATTCAGGGCACTCTGTGCGGCACACACAGCTGTTTGCCAAGTGAGGGAGCCCAGCCAAATGGCTGCAAAGCAGTGTAGAAAAGGCCTACTCACTTAATAACAGATGATACATATATAAATAAAATACTGCAGTTAGAAAAGGCATTGATCAGGAATTATTTAATGGGTTTGGTTTCTATTTTACTATAACGTATAACAAGCTGAAGATTTATATTGACTAGTGAAGTGGCTGTTAATAGCAATGTGAAACCATCTAATAATGAAGCTGCCACAGAAAGAAAGCCAGAAAAAAATCTACATTTCTTAATATTTTCTTGTTATTGTTGTGATGTTCTATTCTTTAAGCCAAAACTATAATAGGCTTTCAAAAATTCTGGCCTTTTAGAGGAGAAAATTTGAGTGGGTTATTAAATGGGCTGCAGTCTCTGCAGACTGTCACCCACTGTGAAAAAAGGAGGTATGCAAAATCCCCCAAAATACTCACCAAATGCATAGTGAATAAGCAGTGAAAAATCTGCATCTATAGTCAGAAAGCCTGTTTTTGTTTAGAACTGCAATGCCTAGCCATAACATTCATTACCTATAAGTACACTCAGAGGGGAAAAAACTGTTTCTGCTGTGGTTGAAACTGATCAGCTATTGCTCATGTAAGCATTTTGTATTTCTTAGCAGGACAGTTTCCATAATCTAAGTATACATATTAGATTCAGGCATTTTAGCACTCAGGAGTTTACAGGCACTGGAGTATAACATTGCATAATAAATGCCTTTGCACAACAGCCCCTCTGCTACTTTCATAATAACTCAGAAAAAGATGCATTTTAACTGCCTAAAAAAAGCAATTCAGTTTCTCTGTAGGTTATCTGGTGCTTACATTGGAAACCGGGTTTTTTGGCCTTTCCCCCTAGAATTACAGGATTTCAAATTCTGAAAGAATTATGGTAAATTAGCAGTTATGAAAAGGCTGTCTTCAAAGCCATGGACGAGAATGCTTGCCTGGAGAAGAAAGTTCTTTTGATTTTATCAGTCTTTTGGATGCAGATGGGCTAATTGTGCTGTAGGTCCCATTTTTTCCTCCAACCCAACGATAGTAATAGTGGTTCGATGAAATTTGTGACCTGTTTCCTTGAGGATTAAAGTATGGCATCAATACCGGAGGCAGAACAATCTCAACAGGTTTCAAGAGCATCACACGGTCTTCAGACTTTGGTTTCCTAATGTTTCGTTGTCTTTCAAACACTTTCTGCATAGATGGTGAAGCAAGTGTGTTCTTTGACATAGTGGGTAGAGATGAATTTGAGAGAGGTTTGGCCGTTTTCTTCAGGGGAATGGAATTCTTTGTCTGGTTCACAACCTGAGACGTACTGGCAGTTATATTAACTGCTGAAGCATCAGACTCAATAACGCTCGGTTTCATTTCTCGTTCCAGAAATTCCTGAATTTTAGATTGCATCACTGCCTCTTTAGCAGCAGTCTTTGGCTGGGTTACCTTGTGCTTCTTTTTCTTCTTCTCTTCTTTTTTAGTTGGCTTTGCCAAATCAATACCTTCCAATAAACCCTTTGCTGCAGCACGAGCTAAAACATCTTTCACTGATACAGATTCAGATGGATCCTTCTATAAGGAGAAATGAACATACATTATCATAATCAAATCACCTGCTGAAAGAGCAACCACTTTCATGTAATATAGGGAGCAACAGCTGTATTCTGTGAGAGCCAGTAACTATTCCTATTACCTGTATCACTCTCCCTACAATCTCCAGGACAATGATTCCAAAGCAGTGGTACAGCTAGGTACTACTGGTAGGATAAAGCAGTAGTTGAGGTAACTGCAGGATTTTCTAAAAACTGCTACAAATTGACCCCCCTAAATTTCTGGGTCCTCAGACAAGTATGATATGTTGTCTCCATCCAAACCCACTTGCTACACATTATCCATCTGACCTTTCAGCATGCTGGTACACTGTATATAACTTTGGACATGTGAGCTTTCTCTTAATTCCCCATTTTCCCTGTCCAGCAGCTTACCAACTACCAAAATGAGAGAGAGATAATAAACTGCCTGCAAACCTATAAATGCCCTTTAAAGGCTGTTTTGTTTCTACCACCACGGGACTCTAGTTCATTAGTGATTGGAGGGACACAAGATGTGAGAGCAAGATGGTTAGATCTGCTCTTAATATCGCCCAACAACTGCCAAACCCTTTGCACTGGTGGCTCTAGCCTCAGTATGTTGCAGATTTACTGCTGTAGCAAAAGAAAATTATTTTCAGAACGTCAGTATAAAAAATTAGCTGTGGACTGTTCACTCCTACATGAAACTGGTGACACTGGAAGGAGGATTCATATATTTAGTTTGACATTAACTAACCTCTTAACACCACATAATGGAAATTTTCTTTAAATTAGATATGGATAAATGTGCTTAAAGCTAGGCAGAGATACAACTCTCTCAGAATATTTTCAAGAGAAAGCAGATATAATTTAGAATCCTGCAGCCTTAAGTATGTGCAGTTCCAGTTGCCTGCATTTCTACTGTTTAGCATTGATAATCCCCAGACATTACTACCAAAGCTGAAGTCACTGACATAGATACACCCCACTCTGAGTGAATGCAGAAGGAAGAAGAGACTGGAAAACAAGAACTTCCCCATCTCCAAAGCTGCTTTCTTTTCCACCACCAATCTGTCCTCAATCCATTGAGCTAGAAGTTCTCCTCAAGAATCTTTAGCTCAACCAAAAATAATACTGCTTGTTTAGAGGTCTACAGTAATTACAAAGTTGCATGAATGTTTGTGTAAGTCAACAGTAAAGACCAAAATACCAAAACAGTGTCTACAAAACTCGTATTTTAATTACACTTACCTCTCGGGTTAGAACAGCTATAAAACAGCTATTAGAAATATCTGATGGCTCCAGCTTGAAAAAGTTTTCTGCCGAAGAATTTACTTCCGATTTGCAACACAAAGGAAGAACAGGCGGACAGAGCCTACAGTGAGTAACACACAAATTTGAAACTGTCATTGCTACTTCTTAACTAAATATATAATTTTAACTAAATCATGAATCTTGCCCTTTCCAGCATGCCATGCAAGCTGTCACAGAAAACAATGTCACAATGCCTGTTTACCTGCTGGGCCAGCCTGGGGAAGCTTCTAAGACCCAGCACCAATCAGCTGTGAGGTGGGGAGGGGGCTAAGACCCAGAAGAGCACGTGCGCGCGCGCACACACACACACACACCCACACACACCAGCAAAGCACCACTTTCAGAAGCCTCCCGGGGCTTCGTCTTGCGAAACAGGGCCATAGGAAAAATCTTGTGAAGCACCAAAATCCTCGCTGGACCCAATCGTCCAGCGAGTTTTTCGTCCCACGAGGCAATCGTCTTGTGGGACACCACTGTACTTATGTTCAGCACTAATTCTCAAATCAAGACAGATGAAGCAGCAGTCACAAGACACTACCAAATTAATATTCCAATGTCAAAATCAGAGAAAGAGATTTTTTCTTTGTGTGAAAATACATATAACATACTACATGTGAATAAGGTGGAACCAAAGAAGACTTCTTCAGTCTTACCTACAGATAGAAGAAGCACAGCATAATTCAAAATAATGGAAGAGTCTGTTGTCATTTTGGATTCTCCTACTGAAAAGTGAAGATTGTATTCCTTGTACAAGACAATATTATTGCCACAAATAGACAAACACCAGTTTAGAGGCTGTGTCCATATAAAGCAAGGGTAAGCAACTGCATTTTAACAACAAAACTGTCATGCAAAGCATGTTGAGTGGACACATGGAGAGAAAAAAACATACTGTATGTCAAAGTAATAAGTAGAAAACTAGTATCTTTTTAGTTCATAGAACTAGCTAAGGAGGCATGTACACTTAAGTGTCTGAAAGTACCCTCTGCATTCCTGGGTCAGATAAGGAATATACAGAGAACATAAAACATACAAATAATAAAAGCCTCTTCATTACTTGTAAGGTTGGGCCTTTGTTCCTTCTGCTCCAGATGCTAGTGCGTTGTTCACCACAGCTTCATTTTCTTCCGGGTAAACCGAACAAGTGCAGTAGACAACAGCTTGCACTTTAGCAACTACATGAAATCAAGATGGCAGCAATTAACACTTGTTAATGATGTGTTGTTCAACAAGACACTTTAAATATTAAGCTTTAGACACTACTTTAGTCAATAAACTTTAAAAGCTGGACCAATCTGTATAATTATGACTGACATTTTTATGAAAACAACAAGGAATTCAAATTTTACCATAACTATGTATTCCACTAAAGGCTTAAATTGTTTTCGGCTATACAGTGACTCTTTTCTTTTAAACCCTGGAACCCAAGTTGTCTTCAGATTCCCTTTAATCAATATGTAATACTCCTTAGTATTACTGTCCATTTTTTCCTCAAGTTGAAAACGTTTTACCCAGATACTACAGATGTGCCTTTAACAGCAACTTTATTGCAAGCTATTATTAGGCAGAAACTGCCTCTCCAATAGCTTCCTGCTGACAGACCCTGTTATTCAGACAGGTTCTTGGCCTTTGCCTCCAGTTTCAATACAGTGGACCCTTGACTTACAGACGGCTTGACTTACAGACTTTTTGAGTTACAGACTTCTCTGGCCGCAAAATTTAGGTTTGACTTGCAGACTGAGATTTGACTTACAGACCAGAAAAAAAACAAAATGGAACAAAAACGGCCTGTTACGGGATTAATCGGTTTTCAATGCACTGTAGGTCAATAGAGACTTGACTTACAGACTTTTTGACTTGAGAACCGCCTTCCAATACGGATTAAATTCTCAAGTCAAGCCCCCACTGTACCTGGATTTACTCCTCATTTTGACTTATATTAACTATTAAATTTAATAGTTTTTATTGCTCCAATTCAAGTAAGATTGCTTTAAAAGCTGTGTGCAAAAAGTGAGACACAGTTTACAAGAAAAAAATGAAAGATTTATCTACTGATTTCTACAAATCAGGCTGTCAGCAAAGTTAATTGCAGCTTAACCTCCTATTCCTGTAAACACTTTAAAGGCACTACTGATATCATTTCTGCTATTCAACCCCATCACTGTAAAACCTTCTCAGTCTCAGAATAGACTAGAAAAAGTCAGGAAGTTAGCAACCTTAAATCCAAAAGGAACAAATTAAACAAAATAGGTCTGGCAAAAATGGCAAATAAATGTAATCTTAAACAGATGACCATCCTGACAGCTTGGAAGGGCTAGTTTAAAAGACTGTGAAGTCCTCCCATTGAGGAGCAATCCAGCAATCCCCACATCTGGACTGCAAGGTAGGGCATAGGTATGGAAATGGACTGGACTCCTGCACCTTCAGCAATTATGCAGAAGAGGATATTTCAAGTGTAGCTTGCTGAAATCTCTTCTATACAATGACTAAAGGGAGAAGATCCCTCTTTCTGGGGCCATCCTATAACAAAAAAAATGTTTAGGTCACTAAAATAGCAATGGGACTAATTGTTTGCACAGCTGTCCATCAGTATCTGTAAAATTATTATTTTTTAATAAAGTCAAATGAGCAAGGCATCTGATCTCTTTTCTACTTCAGCACTACTACTTCCAGAATATTTAGTAGGTATTTCTACCACCATAATACAGTGGGGTCTCGACTTACGAACTTAATCCATATTGGAAGGCGGTTTGAAGGTCGAAAAGTTCGTAGGTCGAATCTGCATTTCCCATAGGGATGCACTGAAAACCATTTAATCCGTATCTGCTCTTTTCCATCCATAGAAACTAATGGGAAGCTGCTATTCTGCCTTCTACCACGAGAGGGGGATATTTTTTCTTTTTTTTCCTTAGGTCAAGAAAAGTTCAGGAAAGGAGTGGGGGAGGCAGGGAACAGTTTGCAAAGCACTTTTGAAACCTTTTTTTTCCAACGAAGCCAATTTTAAAGCATGCTTTGAAGCATGTTGTGCTGATTTTTTCAGCACAAAGACACACAAGCAGGAGTCTGGAACTCACACAGCCTTTTTAGGTGCTGAGTAAGCCTCCAGAGGCCTCTTCAGAGCCAGCCGATCAGCTGTTAGGCAGGGAGAGGAGGGGGCAGGAGCGGAGAAGAGCACAAAATGGCTTCCTGGCTCCCTGCTAGGTGTCGGCTTTTAACTGTTTGGTGCTCTTTTTCCTGCAGTTCGGGGGGCTACCAAGGCCTGGTAAGTGACTTTCTTTTATTTATGTTTAAGTTTCTGACCCTTTTTCCCCTCTAGAAGCCTCTAAGGGGAGGGAGGGGGCACTTTTTTTCCTGTCCGTAACTCGAGGGAAGTTCGTATGTTGAGTCCTTATTTCCCTATCGGGCGGGTTCGTAAGTTGAATTGTTCGTGAGTAGGGTCGTTCGTAAGTCGAGACCCCACTATATAGACTTCTGTACATATGTAAACCAACATCACTGTGCAGGTAATATAAATGTAATATAAATGTATATGCAGGTAATATAAATGTATGTTCCAGTGGGCAAGAGTATTAGAGTCTTTTGTATTATGCACCTGTACTTTTTCTTTAAATTTTGAGTTAAATCTAGGGAATAACTTTGCTGTTACTCAAGTATCTCTTTTGTAAAAAAAAAAAAAAAAGCTGAAATTGGTTTCAGTTGCAAAGAAACCAGTGGAAGATCTAGAAGTTTAAGATCATGCATGAAATCAATATGCTTAATTCCTGACACGTAGGAACAAACTTACACTGCATTGCATGCATTAATTCTTTAAGCTGTTGCTGTGCAAGCATATTCAGTTTATCTTCTGCCACAGATCCTTGAGAGAGATCTCTGAGTAATTCTGCATCTAAAAGGCATGTGGTACGTAGAAAAATATATAACTGCAACATATGTTAGGATTTTGTTATTTTCATTATCAGCCACTAATTGATTTTGTATCCTGTATCAATATCAAAAATACAGGGCCTCTAATACAGAAGTACACATAGTTCGCAGTTAGGTGGTCGTGAACAATATTTGTTCCTCACAAATGCATATAGAATCTTGGTTGGCAGTTACTTTATGCCTAGTGGACATTCTGATTTAATTAAAGGGGCACCAGGAGTTCCTTTGCCAGTCCACTTCCCCCACAACATAGGAAAATGGGCATTAATCCTTCCTCTTTTATGTGGGCCATTGTTCTCATCCTTGTTTTTTCCTGCCTCTGTGTACACATTGGACTGCAATCCCCATCAGCCCTAGCTAACATGGCCAATGGTGAGACAGCATGAAAGTGAAACTCCAAAACATCAAGCAGATAATAGAATAGGAAAACCTAAAAGACAATACTGGAGACATTTGATACAGCTCTCCATTTTTATGCCTCCATTTATGCCATCGCCACCCCACAAACATACAGGCAAATAGCTGAGATATGTGACAAAAGAAACATTTGCCTGATTTTCAGCTGCTGCCCATCTCTGCAGAAGGAAACACAGTTTTTTTAACCCCCTTTCCCAAGATACAGACCCTCTTCTTTCTTCAGATTCTCCTGAAGTTCTGGGCCTTCAGCCATCATCATTGGCTATGTTAGCTAGGGCTGATGAAGGGTGACCAGGGTGATAAAAATCTCAAAACTCAGGCCTATGAGGAATGCTTGAGACAGCTGGGTTATGTTTAGCATGGGAACAGACAACTAAGAGATGATATGATGGCCATCTTCAAATATTAGAAGAGGTGTCAATATTAGAAGATGGAGCAAGCTAGTTTTCTGCAGGTCTGGAAGGCAGGACCTGAAGCGTTAGATTCAAATTATGAGAAAAGGAATTTCACTAAACATTAGGAAGAACTTCTTGACAGTACGAGCTGCCTAACAATGGACTGTCTTGGAAAGCGATGGATTCTCCTTCTCTAGTTTTTTAAACAGGGGTTAGAGGGCCCACTTGTCAGAGATGCTTTAGCTGTGGGGTTTCTTTTGCTTTGGCAGGGTGTTGGGCTCAATGCCCCGACATACTTTCCAGCTCTACCCTGCTATGATGCCATTAAAGAAGAGGTGTTACTGTCCTTTCTCGTTTCAGGATATGAGGACTATAGTTGTAAGGAGAGGAGCTAATTTGAGCTCAGAGGAGAAATCAGAAGGCCAGATGAAATTTTACTCTGGATTGTCTATCCCTAATATCAGAAGCCAGCTGACTGATTTAAAACAGGCTGGACTAAGAAGCTGCAGGGTCTGTGAAATGTCACAGCATGGCAACAATTCATTACAAAGTATCATAACATTACAATGGTGCCTCGCTTAACGAGCGCACCGTACAACGACGAAATCGCACAGCGATCCCTTTTTTGGGATCGCTAATGCAATCGCTCAACGTTTTTTTAATAGGGCAAAATTCGCTTTGCGAAGACCGGTAAGCGTTTCGCTTACCGATCTTCGCAAAACGAAGCCCGACGATCAGCTGTTAGGCGGACAAAATGGCCGCCGGAGGCCCGGAAATGGCCCAAAATGGCTGCGCGCAGCGTTTTCGCGCCCTTGTTAAGCGAGGGGAGGGCGCGAAAATGGCTGCCAGCCATTAAGAAGCATCGCTGAACGGTGAGTATTCGGCCCATTTGGAACGCATTAAACCAGGTTTAATGCGTTCCAATGGAATTCCCTGCCCCGTTCAACGATGCTTCAGCATAGCGAAGGTTAATCCGGAACGGATTAACCTCGCTATGCGAGGCACCACTGTATATTTAAGCTGTATCACAGGTGACAAAATGGTTTAGGAGTTAGTTATTGCCATGTGCTGCTAAACCTTCAAGATAAGTGAGATATTTAAGGAATGGTTTTACCAGTTCCAGACCCCCAGTGAATATCCATGGCTGAATGGGGATTCAAACCCAGGCCTCCTGAGTCCCATTTCATCACTCTACACTACACCACACTGGATAAGAGTCAGTTCCTGACCCAATTTTCAACACCAAGAATGCCAAACCAGGTGTAACTACAATAGAAATGTTCCCTTTTATTTCAGTACAGGAGAAATATTTCGTAAAATAATTAATTCCAAGTTACCTTCATGTTCTTTCAAAATAAATTCAATTGGATTACTAACACCCAGGGCTGAACACCGAGGTAGCAGCAAAATAACCTTGACTTTTTGCAGCTTATGATCAGTTGGGTCAATATTTGTAAAATCTTCACGTAGTAGCTCAATATCTGGGGGAAATAATGAGGTCTGCAAGTTAGACAATGTACAACTAATAAACCTGATTAAATTATATAAATTCAACATTTGTATCTTTGTAAAATTCATTAAACCGTTTAAGCAAAAAACACATTTTTCAAGAAATAATTCAAGAAGGTTCCAAATGTTATGTGTCAATAACTGGCATGGATATACTTTCCATGCAAGTAAATGCTTTTTATACTGTGATAAAGAAAGCTACTGCATCCTTACTTTTACACTCCATCTGTGCAAACAGGTCCTTCAGTTCAGCTTCTTTTGCCACTGACTTTACTCCACACACAAATACTTTAGATGTTTCCTGATTCATCAGTACTGACATATGGGCAAGGGTCAGCCAGGATCCCATATTGGCTACTAATACATCATCATCCATGTTCAGCAAAGCTTTCACTGAACGAACAGCAAGGCTACGAGATTTATCCTAAAAATTAAACCATAATACTAAATTAACAATGAAAGATTATCCTCCTATAGTTCAGCTAGCCAAATTGTTAATTCTAACAGGACCAGCAATCTGTCCTGTTAGAGTCCAATATCAAATTTATAGCCAGTTTTTCCACATATACTTGCTTGGGCACTTAAAGAATGCAGTCACTAGTTAGATTAGATTAGGCATCCTTCAATCTCGAGAGACTATGGTATCGTGCTCTGTATGGAGGACTTGGAACAGCATCTAGTGTGGCTGAGAAGGCCAATTTGAGAGTGACAATCCCTTATACATTGAAGACAAATACAATCTGTCCCCTGTCCAGCTCCCTGATTTTGCTGCTTTCGTGACTGCCTCTTTGCCTCGGCCTGCTGGACAAAGTCACTAGTACATTCTTTACAATTCAAATTAATTATTTTTTCATTTATAGCAGCAGGTATCTAAGTAAGCAAGTGAAACATATCTCTGTGGAGTCTGTTCCACAGTTTTCTTGCATGTCACCACATAGTGGCCTTCAGATGTTTGTTGAATGAAGTGGCTTCCACACATTTTCCAGTCATCCATGCATCTACTGACACAGATCAGCCATAATAACATTTGCAAAGCATGCACTTCCTCTGCAAAATATTTTTGAAAATACTACTGAAAGTAGCCTCATCTGGAACTTATATCTGGTACAAACTTGGCACTAAGCAGTACGACAATACACAGTTATACTCAGTGGAGGATGGTCAGGCAGAGCTCAGCCATGTCCCTCAAAGCCAGAATACAAAAGGAAGAAAACTACCACTCACAGGGCATGACTTTATTCTTCTCTGTACTCCAGAAATGCTTTGCTGCCTTGGCAATAGGAAAAGAACACAAATGCATTTCTTTTTTACTTCAACAGATGTCTCTGAACGGCCATCACTAATTTGGACATGCCTAGTATTGAGTATTGAAGCTAACAGAAAGATAGGTTGCAAGGGAATTTACCCACAGCATGTCTCGTTGCGTTCAAAGTACCCACTGCTATTTTACACATGCCCAGTAGTAAGCATGGAAGCTAATGGAGGTGGAAATTGAAAGGGCATTTTCCCAAACCACCTACAGCCATCTCCCCACAAAATAAAGATGTTACTTTAACCTTACCCCAGTGATAAGGAAAACAAACAGGTGGTATTCTAGAATGCCTTAGGAATAAATAATGGTTTCAAAATACTGCTTCCCCCAAAATACTTAGAGATATGAGCACAAAAATTAGCTAATAGACTGTGCATGCTTCTGAGGCAGGCATCAAAGCAGATGAGTGGAAAATAAATGGCAGAAAAATTACAGAGGGTATAGAAACAAAAAATCCTGAAGCTTTCCTCAATTTAAGGTGTCTTCTCATGAGTACTCAATACCGCAGAGACAGGACATATGTACGTAATAAAACATATTGTGAATAAGGAACTTTCAGTGGAAAGTTCTGATTCCTGTCTGCACTGTGGCTTTGCCTACACTTCACAGTTTTATGGGACAGCGTGAATGTATTATATTGGGTGGATCCAGTGTAGTATAGTAGTCAGAAGGTTGGAGTAGCATGGGTAAGAGGTGGCTTCATATTCCTACTGTGGACAAAAAATCCCTTGGTGGATTCACAATAGTCACTCAGCCTGATTTACACACAGAGTTTTTCTCTAGATAAAATGGGGAGGAAGGGAGCAATGTAAACACTGCCTATGGGTGGATGGGTAGTTGATTAGCCAGGAGGGACAGGATCACAGATTGAGACTGATAAACAAATAATCAATACCTTACTACTTTGAATGAGTTCAAATCTCAAGGGCCTAATGAACTGTATCCAAGAGTACTGAAGCACTGGCTGAAGAACTCTCAGAAACACTGTCTATTTTCTTGAAATCATGGAGGATGGGTAAAGTGCTGGATTACTGGAGGAGGACTAATGTTGTCTCTATCTTAAAAAAGGAGGAAAAGGAGGAACCTGGGAACCAATCTGGAGCCAATTATAAAATGGTCATTCTGAAAGCACCTTGAAAACAACTAGAAGCTGACAGGGATTTGTCAAAAACAAATCTTGCCAGATTAATCTTATCTCATTTTTTTAAATCAGATAACCCTCTTTGGTAGACGGAATTTTGTATATTAGCAAAGCTTTTGACAGAGTGGGCCATGATATTCTGATTAGCAAGCTACTAGGTGTGGGTTGAGTCAGGTGGATACACAGTTGGTTACAGAATCATACTCAGAGAGTGCTTATCAATGGCTACTTCTCAAACTGGGAGGAGGTAATAAGTGGGGTACCAGAAGGCTCATTTCTGGACCTGGTGCTCTTCAACATTTTTATTAATGGTTTAGATGAGGGATGTAGAAAATGCTTCTGCATATGACATAAAATTGGGTGGAATAGCTAATTCAGGCCACTGGAAACTAAGACCTATATGGAAAGACTGAAATAACTGGGCATGTTAAGCCTTGAGAAATGACGACCGAGAGAAGATATGGTAGAACTTTCCAAGTACTTGAAAGGCTGTCATACAAAAAAGGGACAGGATCTGTTTCTGATCATCCCAGAGTATAGAATATGTAATAATAGATTCAAGTTACAGGAAGCCAGATTTCACTTCAACATCAGAAAAAACATCCTAACAGAGCAATATGGCAATGGAAGTTACCTCAGAAGGTAGTGAGTGAGCACTCCAATGCTGGAGACATTCAAGAGAAAAGTAAACATATATTTACAAGGCAGGCTTCTGAGAGCGTAGGAGAAAACACTTCCAGTAATTTTTTTTTTCTGTGCTGCCCAGGGCAACATCAGGACTCCATCTTCACAATGAACACCATAGAAACATTGCAACAAACTCTGTTTGAAGACTGATTTCAGCTGACATGTTACAGGTCAAACAGCAGGGGACAAATGGGGAAAAATGCACACAGCATTATCCCCCATCTTGATGTGAACAAAAAGTCAGCAATCTGGACATAAGTGGAGAAATTCTCCTTTGTTTTCTCTGCTGGTTGTTTGGTGATGATAATATGTGGACAAACTCAGGACTTAAATCTTAAAACATCTGTCTGATAAGGCTAGAAAGCATAAGGTATCCAAAAGTCACATTAAGAACTGTGTGCAGCTGTCGATGCTGGGTAGCGTGGACACAAGACATTTTGTAGTGAGAAGGAACAACCAAGAGGTAGAAAATAATAGGTACATTCCTCTCAAAGATCATTGACTGTGTATGATTCTGTGGGGTGCTTCGACTTGTGTTTCACAGGATCAGTTATACAAGTCTCTCCAAAGAAGAGTGATAACACTGAAGAGATAACACATGATTTCTTGTTTAAGAAACAGTGTTCCTGAAACAGGATGTATTAAGTGTGGGCAGGCTGCCATGCACCTATAACTGGCATTGCTAAACCTGCTCTTTTAACAGCAAGCAGTATGTTATTTTAATTTTAATCGTTTTTCCTAGATTTCCCTTAATATATGTTAGGACCAAGCACAGAAGATAGCATTTGTTAATATTATGCAATCATTAAACAGCCAGAAAGCAGACCCAATTAGAGATTATTCTTCAAATTAATTGAACATAGTAAATGTTTCTAAAACTAGAATCAGTCCTTTGCAATCTCAGATGGTTCCAAATCCCAAAACGCTGAGCAATCCTGATCACTAGTATGTTTAATTAACTTTGAGCTGAGCAGATTACGTCCCTCTGAAACGTAAGTGCTTTGGAAAGACGGGGAAAATTCCTGAATTTTTATTGTTCTTGTTACTTGTTCAGTTTTGTGTTTAATAATCAAAAAAGGGGAAAAAATTAAAAGGAAAAAGGAGCCATTCTTCTCTGGGGAGGGGGGGTAGCTACAAAGGTTGCATAAGGCCATACACCCAATTATCTTGAAGCGAGATTAAGAGACTATTCTTAAATTTAGTTGTTATTGCTTAAGTCCCCTTAGATTCACTGTCTTCTCCAAACCCACAAGGGCATTTTCACCATCATCTTCAAAGCTGTAAGACTAGCTGTGTCAGCAGCCTCTTCAAAGCCATGGGATCACTTCATGGCACAGTACAGCATGGAACTGAATGTGATCGCGCACAACTATTCTGAGCCAAGGGTAAGAGAGATACAGCAAATATGTGTCATGATCTGAGGATGATGGAATAGGAGAATAGTCATCATTCGAGCGGGAAGTAGTTTGAAATGTGTGTGTTCTGGACGGCACAGTTTGTGATGTCGAAGTTGGTATAACATAGCGATTCTTTAAGGAATGTTTAGGTTGCTTCGATGGTTGGACAGTTATGGATTGTGAATGGCGTTTTCTTGATGTTGAGAGTAATGTCACTGTCGAAAGAAGTTCCATAGGCTTCAATGTCAGCACTGATGGTGGAATCTGTGGACGGCATGGTGGAGACTCATGACGGCGCCATTTCGCTGGGGTTGTCTGAGAAAACTCATGATATGCTTCCATTTGAAATTTGTTAGCAAAGGGAAAAAAGTTATCCATGCCAAGTTGCTGGAAAGCAAGCTGTTGGTAGGCTGGGAAGAATGGAAATTGGTAGCATTGTCCAAACTGAGATATTGGAGCTGGTGGGTCGACATGCTTCCTCTTCTCCTTATGTTTCCTTGGAGACCGAGGAGGAGTTTCAGCTTCAGATGCCTCGTTGCAGAAGCCCGTCCTGAAATCGGGCTGGAATGGGCAGTGGCCGGACTGGAAGGAAGCTCAGTCCCGACGTGGCTATTGGAGGGACAGAAGCTACCAGGCAGAGCTGGAGCTTGTGCTGAGGGAATATGCACCTCATCCCTTTCCACTACAGATCCGGGAGCCTCCATAGAAGATTCTTCCAATATTGGAGAGGGTGGACGCTCTCCGGGTGGATCCAAACAAACGGATTTAGTTTTCTTAGACTTCTTGGTAACAGATTTTTCTTTCTTTTTTTAAGATTGTACATGTTCCTTTGGGGCTTTGGGTTTTGAAACCCTAGAAGTGTCGGAGCCCTCCCTGGAGCAGGGCGAAGGAGCAGAATGCCCTGGGGTGGCAGATGAGGCTTGCCATGACAGGGCTGTTTCTGAATGTGGAATCTCACAGGGAGCCACGGTAGCGGGGTTAATGGCTGCTTCCCAAAGATGAGATCTTAGTCTTTGGAGTCTGTGTTTTAGCGCTGGCTTGGTAAAACTTTTACAAGCCGCACAGGATTGGGTTTGGTATTCCCAAATCTGCAAAAATCTGCAAAAATTCCAAAATAAACACATGTCGTTGCCATCAGTAGATGGAATATTGCTATTACAGCCAACGCAGCGTTTGAAAAGAGCTGAAGAGGCCATATAGGGCGGGAAAGGAGGGAAAGGACAGTTGAAAGTCCAGGGGGAAGGGAAAAGGTCTGAAGAAGTAAAAACGGCAATCAAACAGGGAAAAAACTCACTGGAGATCAAACGAAAAGAAGTTGTTGATTGGTAATTGAAAAAGGTAATTGGTATTTAGCAGCACAAAGGCCAAATAATCGCGCTCTCTCTCTCTCTTCCATAGAACCTTTTGGCGGGAAAAAAGGAACTGAGGGGAACAGTGGGTGGGAGGAGCATTGCCTCATGGGAGATTACACCATAAAATTGTTACTTTTAGCTCTAGAATCTTCAGAGATTGTCAGTGCAGGACAATGCCCATATGTGTGCATTCACATAGACCATGATGAAGAACAACTGATTTCTTTCACCAAAACATTAAGAAGAGATTAAAAACATGCATCATCAACTTAACATACCTTAATTATACTCCTGTCCTATGGGGCCTAACAAAGGGACAAAGAAAATGAACTTTACAAGCCCCTGCAATAAGTCTGGAAAGAGGAATGTTCATCATCCACTACACAATGGTCAGAGGATCTGCTAGCACAAGATTCATTTGAACAAATATCATATAGACTCCAGTTTCACAAGGACATTTGCCTGGACATCTGGAAGGCCTATACTGATTTCCATATATAAGATTAGGTAAAGGTAAAGGTCCCCCTTGACATTTAATTCAGTTGTGTCTGACTCTAGGCGCAGTGCTCATCCCCGTTTCCAAGCCATAGAGCCAGCGTTTGTCTGAAGATAGTTTCCGTGGTCAAGTGGCCAGCGCGACTAGACACGGAATACTGTTACCTTCCCACCGAGGTGGTACCTATTTATCTACTTGCATTTTTACATGCTTTAGAACTGTTAGGTTGGCAGGAGCTGGGACAAGCGACAAGAGCTCACTCCGTTGCGTGGATTCGATCTTACGACTGCTGGTCTTCTGACCTTCCAGCACAGAGGCTTCTGCGGTTTAACCTGCAGCACCACTATAAGATTAGAGATGGGCACAAACCAGAAAAATGGCTACCCACGAACAACGAACTTATTAAAAAAATGACCCATGAACCAGTTCATTGTTTTTTAAATGTTTGTGCCTGTGGGTGGGGAAACTAAACCCCCACCCCCTCTACCATCCGCCTGCCCCCTTCTCATTGCCTCTGTCACCTCACTAGCTGGTCCTGATGCTACCTCCTCCTTCTCCATTGTTGTTCTGGCTGCAAAGGGGTGATCCAGTGCCATGGAGCACCGTGGCTCACAGTAACATCGGTCCCAGCTGATCTACCTGATCTCTAGGACCACAGCATCTACGCAGAGACAAGAAGCCAGACTGCAGTCTCTGCACATGCCACACCTCTCAGCTGTTAGGCATGGGCTTGCAGAGAAAATGGGGCCTGCTCCCAGAAGGGAAGCTGTGCCACTGTCTCTAAAGATGGCAGCAGTGACAGAGGAAGAAGAGGAGGCAGTAACAGCACAAGGTAGAGAGGCAAAGGAGCCAGGGGCAAACAGACCAGGAATTTGTTAAATCAGTTAAAAAGTTTGTTGGGTCAGTTCATTTTGGTTCATCGGTTTTGACGAACCCAAACCAGCCCAAACCAGCAATTTTTACCTACTTCCTGGTTCATTTTCTAGTTCATGCCCATCTCAATGTAAGACGTATGTAGCAAATCTATATTGTAAATTTATAATGGTTGTTCATAGTGAGTACTAGCATTACTGTATTTACTATTTTTGCTCTGTTTTTGTTTTGTTTTTGTTTGTTGGTTCAATTTAAATTTTTATGTTAAATCTGCAAAAATAAAAAAAAATAAAAAAAATCCATACCTGAAACAAGAGTTTGTAAGTAGTAAAGAGTTCCAGAGTAAGTAGATGTTCTTTAAGAAAGGAAGGGAAAATAAGTACATCTTCACAGTGCTTATCCAGGCAATATGAATAATCACCAAATTCTGAGACCGATTCCACTTCAGTGAATCCCTCTTTTTGTAAAGAGCTGTGAACTTCTTCAAGGCTGTAGCATAAAATACAATGGATGTTTGTTCTGAAGGTGGCAAGTCTTTTCTATGAGAAGCGAATGATTACATTAGCATATCATTTAATCTGCTTTATTTGCTATTTGTCATTGCTCTGTCATTCTTGAACATTTCCTACATGTGCAATTCTAACATGCAGAAGCTTGAAAGTACATTATGTATTGAAAGCTAATATATGGATTTCCCCCGCTGCAAATAATTTCATAGTGATGTGAGACACTCTTGGCAAACCCTCTATTGAAGCTCTACAGAACTAGAATCTACACCTATTACTCCTCTTCTCCAAAACTTTTGTCATAACCCCCGTTAAAAGGAAGAACAGATGCCCAGGACAATAAATACTGTACTGTGTTGCTGATGCTACGTTGAAAATAAATTTCATCCCCTTGTCAGCTTGCAAGTTAGGCATCTTAGAGTAGTCTTTGGAAGAACATCCTTCCCTCCTTTGTTTGAACAAGGAGGGACTGGTTGTTATATAAAGCACCCAGCTTGAAGTTAATGTTATCGTATGAATCTCTTGTTTGAGTAGTGTTTTAGTGTCAATGGTTCCCACAGGAATGTAAGGAAATGGCTGCCTCGCTGAATACCAAGATGTAAAACTGTGCTCCCAGAGACTCATTAGCCAGCAAAGATTGGCAGAAGCCAGGAAACCCCTCAATATTTGTGACTGTGTTACCCATATTGCTACAGCTAATTAAAAAAATAGCATTCTCTGTGTACGTAACACTTTTCAAAGAAGATCTATGGCAGTTCCTATCTGAAAGGGTACCTAACCAAAAACATTAACAGTGGAATAAAGGGAGAAAATGTCAACATGGACAAGCATGGTTACTATACACAATATTCATGTTTATATACTACAACACATGCCAAAAATCTTGCTCTGTTGCATGCACTCTGTTGCACTTTCCCCAGCATTTGTTCACGGAGGCATTCACAATCCTCTTGGGCAAGCAGAAGTCCTGTTACCTAAAATGGGACTTATCTCCAAATCGCCCAACTACAGACTAGAGATAGACATGGAGAGCACAAGCAGCAGTTACACTCTCGTACAGATATAGGATGGAAGACACCTGGCCAGACAACAGTACCTGTGAAAGGGATCTAGGAGTCTTGGTAGACCACAAGCTGAACATGAGTCACCAGTGTGATGTGCCTGCCAAGAAAGCCAATGCAATTCTTGGTTGTATCAATAGGAGTATAGTGTCTAGGATCAAGGGAAGTTATACTGCCATTTGTTGGTCAGACCTCACCTGGAGTACTGTGTCCAGTTCTGGGCACCTCAATTCAAAAAGGATGTTGACAACCTGGAACGTATCCAGAGGAGAGCGACTAAAATGGTTAAAGGTCTGGAAGCAATGTCCTACAAGGAGCGGCTTGGGGAGTTGGAAATGTTTAGTCTTGCAAAAAGGGGGACATGATAGCTATGTTTAAATATTAGAAAGGATGTCATGTTGAAGAGGGGACAGGTTTTTTCCCAGGGCTCCAGAGACTAGGACACGGAGCAATGGTTTCAAACTACATGAAAAGAGATTCCATCTGAACATTAGGAAGAACTTCCTGACAGTCAGAGCAGTCTGGCGGTAGAATAGGCTGCCTCAAAGGGTGGTGGAGTCTCCTCCTTTGGAGGTTTTTAAGCAGACACTAGATGGCCATCTGTTGGCGTACTTTCATGGATGTTCCTGCATGGCAGGGGGTTGGACTGGATAGCCTCAGTGGTCTCTTCTAACTCTATGACTCTATGACTCCACATCTGCTAACAGGATTCCAGTCAGAGGACTCCTAGGGCCGTGGTGGGAAATTTCTAGCCTATGGATAAAACTGGCCCAGCAGTACAGAGGAATGCCTTCAAATAGGATGAGAGAGGAACAGTATCCATATAGAAAGAGAAAGAGTGATTAAACAATCAGTATATATTTGTATATATCAACAAATATGCCAGTGGTGAAATCAAGCAGGTACAAACTATCAGCCTAACATTCCACTCACATTAATTCCTTAAAATACTAGAGCAGGGCTATGAAAACTCCAGAAAAGCATGCATTCCACTTTCACCACCAGTCCACATTTACATATATTATTATAGATTATTTTACAGAATACTAAAATACACAGTGTGATTTGGTAGGAAGAAAATGTTGAAAACATACGTGCAACGCTAAGTAAGTCTTCAGAACTCACCTTGCTTTAAGTGTATTTATCCATGCATACAAGGGTAAAGCAGTAGCCCTTTGTTCTTGTTTCCGTATTGTTTCTGGCAGAATGTGTTCTATAGATAGAGCATCATGTTTGATTCGACATCTTGCTAATGCAGCAGCCAATTTTGTCCTAAAACTACAGTTTCAGGAAAGTGATCAATGTTTTATCAAGTTTTATCTCATTACCCTTCCTTGACATAGTACTTCCTTTCCCTTTCCAAAAATCAATACTTGGAATTTAATCCATAGATAAAATTGTGATCAAATGTTGCATCCCCTAAATATTTATACCTACTTAGGCACTATCATACCACAGATTCAAGTTGTAGTTACAAGGATAATTCCAGTTCAGACATTACCACAAGGTCATAGCTCACTTTAAACATGAGGTTTATTAGCATATGGTAAGACCCCTATATGCACAAGATCTATTTCAGCTGTATCCCTTATCTGCAGTTTGCCACAGTACTATATGCAACATACAACGGCACCTCTTTCTGGTCTTTGTCCTGCCCCTTCTATGTTGTATATAGGGTTCCCTTGTATCTGTTGTTTCAGGCATCCATAGCAGATCATGGAACTAATCCCCTGTGGATACAGGGGTCCTGCTATACAACTCACAGACACTCAAACAAATCACACATAATTTCATCTAATCTTGGCTCCTTATCACCCACCTCTACAAATACACAGTTGTTATCCCATAGCTATCCTAAAGAGCTCAGGACTGGTAAGCCATTAACTACATCATCATCAGAGTTCAATTCCCCATTGTGCTTCTTTGACAGAGTCTGGAGAGTCCCTACATAAGATCCCTTCTATGCAGTTCTAAGATGATGATGTTGTTCAGTTTTCTACTACTGGCAGCTTGCCAATCGTGCTTTATTTAGGAAATAGAAAAGGTTCCAGATTTTTTTCCCTAAAACATTTCCAGCTGAAAATTAGAAAGAGAAGATTTACTGATATAGAAGACTTTTAAACTAAACTGTACAAATGCTGGAACAGTCTGCTAACAGCAAACATAAGCCTTTAACATATATCCATTTTATATGCTATACTGCTACATACAGGCCTATTTCCCCTTTTCATAAGTTAGTTTAAAATACAAATCACATAAGGAAATCTTGTGTAGTTCTTTTACATATACCTGCACAGGTAACACTCAACTTCTTTGACTACCGCTATTGGTTCCTCATCATCGATATAGCGTGCTTCAAACTTCCGCTCTTGGAGATCATACAGCATCACAACAACAAGACTGGTCAATTCATCTGACTGGAAAAGAAGACCATCATATAGGAGAAACGACAGTGACAATAACTGTTGACAATAAAATCTGTTAACACAAAACCTGCAGTAATTTGTCCCTCAATTCTATGAAGGAGGGTAAGGGACCTACCAAGAATATATACATTTGCCAGATGTTATATATAAGTTGTCTTTGAAACATGGCTGCAAAGGTAACACAATAGTTCACTTTTTGCATCCTTTTCTTCGGCATTGTTTCTCAAGTGCTGAAATAACGTTTAAGAATTCTTTACTATTAGACCAACTGGTTCAGTAGACAACACATTTTTAGATAAGGCATGAAAAACTAATGCTTATTAAAAAAAACACAATTTTATCAATAGTTGTGACTACGGGTAGCAAGGATGATTGTAAAAGTGGTCTCAAAGAAACATGCAATCATATAAACACACGTTTCTCCTAACACAGGACCAGGAATATTCCAAGAGAAGACAGTCACTGGAAAAATAATGTTGCCAAGAGCAAGCTCTGGGGACTATCCATTCTATAATGTCAAACAAAATATATCAACACCAATTTAAAATATACCTCTTTCTACTCAAAGGCAAACCAATCACATGCTTGTATTTACACACTGACACTAGCTAGATCAAACTATCATTGAAAACACCTGTACTGCTTTAAGTTCTCCAACATATATTAGATTGCAACTATGTGATCAAATGCCACGAGGTCAAATTTGCTCCACTTATAAAATAGGTGAATTCAAAGTATTTTTTTTACTGAGTACTTGACATAAAAGCTAATTAGAATTGATCCAGCCCCTTTTTGTTTTCAAATCAGCTTTTTCTCTCTACCAATGGAGGCTTTCTACTTTTTATTTTTTATTTATTTAAATCTAGTGGCCAGGCCATTTACAATATTATAACATAAAGACGTAATAAATCTACAGTAATACTCTAATAAAACATCAGGCAAAACTATCCCATCCAGTATTTACGAACCAGGAACTCCTGAATCAGTTCACAGCCTCCGTGTGAGAGCACTGGTTGCAATTTCAAATAGAGGCTGCAAATCAAATTGCAACAAAGTGTAGTCACACCCTTAGACTTAGAACTCAATCTTAAGTAAGCCTATGCAGAAGTAAATCTGTCCATTGAACTGTCCCTTATTTCTTGTGTATTAATCTTAAGGCTAAAACATGATTTACTATTTTAACAGCTAAGAATTAAGTCTGCATGCCCCATAAAAATTGCACCAAAGGAGGAAACAAATGCAGTTCTGAGTGCCAATTGTTTTTCTTATACAAATTGCAGACAGGAGGTCCTTTCCAAAAAGAGTTGTAATAGTCTATGACAACCTGTTGTCCATCCTCCAGCTTTACTGAATTACTGCCCTCATCTGCCCTAGACATCATGGCCTATCAGGGACAATAGGAGTTGTAATCCAAAACCACTGCAGTGTCAGATTGGGGCACTGGTCTATGCAGTGGCCAAGAGATTTACTTCCACTAAGCACATATATTCAAGACCAAACTTGGATACAACAATGGAACTAAATTTGTGTATACCAGGCTTCCACAATCTTAGTTCCTCCAGATATTTTGCACTACAATCCCCATTATCCTTGATCATCTGTCAAGCTGGCTGAGGCTGATAACAGTTGTCATAAATATCTGGAAAGCACCATGTTGAGGATATTAAAGCACTATGCGGATATTAAAACAGCTGAAACTTAGGAAGGCATGGGAAATGTATCTGAAAACATGTCATTCCTTAAACCTTTATTCCTATCTGCATATGAATACAAAGCAGTCCTCCCAATTTTAATTACCCATATAATAGCAATCACTATATTCCACCTTTCATTATTAGATGCTACTGGAAAACACTACTTATAGGAGAAACACAAAAGATGTATTTTCATCAGGGTAATTTACACAATATGACAGAGCACAGTGAACTGCAGGACAAAATTTTTACGCACCATTGACTGTATTGGGTATATGCCACTGTCTATCAGTATATTTTCAAGAACATCTTGATCTACAGGAGAAAAGGGAATACAACAGAAGGTATCTTTAAATCATTACATTTTGCACAGATCAGTTTTGCACAAATCGCTAACATTTAAAAATTGTTAAACTAAGCCCTGAAAATAAAAATTGTTAATTAATATATAACTAGCCTACTGAGCATATATCATGATTTTCAAATCCATGCAAGATGTACAACACCATCTGTATGTTAAATTCTGCTACCATGAAAAAAGAAACTGAGCACATGACTACAAGTGAAACTGTATAATGGTTATAGAGGCCTCTAAGAATCAATTATGCAGGACATACATGACAGCTTAGTTGTACAATATACACACCACACTTCTGTATATTTAATCCCATAATATGATTAAATAACAATTATGCATAGATAATGTTGAGCTTCTCCTAAATTCTTGTACAAATATCTCTTATTTTGTAAGAGTGTTCCATCAGAAACCATTGACTGCATTTGCACACTGTGGTAAACCATGGTGCAGTGCAACATGCACAGGCAGAAATGAAGTGCAGTAAGCTGCTCTTGTCCGCTCTATCACATGCAGAAGAAGAGTTCAGAATTTAACCATAGCTTTTCTACTGGTTGTCAACACTGGGAACTCTGCATGGTTAACTTTAAAAAGCTAGCATGAGGAACCATAGTTTGAAGCTAGCTTGTTTAAAACTAGCTACAGATAACATTAGCTACTGGTTATATTAAACAAAGTTTGTCACTTCAGACAACAAGCTGTCGCTGAACCTGAAGTTTGCAGCAGCTCATTTCTGCTCACTGCTTAGCATGACATGTGAACTCAAACAAAGAGTTCCTGAGTGAACACAGTTTGAGAATTTTAGAGTTGACATGCAGAAAATCAGAATAGAGAACAAGCACACAGATACGTTACCAATTGGTCAAGCAAGAGACTCAGTGGCAAGTTGCTTATATTATTGTCATTGAATTTGTCCTATTTCTCAGGACTTCAATCACTGCATTGATTTGGAAAGCCATAGCATAGCCCATAGTGGACATTATCAAAACAACAGAAACTTGCAAAATACACACAGCTGTCTTAATTCAGTCTGAACAATCTTAATTCTTTTCTGAGCCAAAAAGCATATCATCTCTATATTTTCAAATGTCTCTATCAGCCATCTGTTGATAATCATGGCTGTGGCTACCATGTTAGAATAATAACTAAGACAAAGAAGCGAAAAAATGTATCAGCAAGCTGAACCCCCACAGCATTTTCCAGGGCACCATACGATAAATTTACAAGGCACTGAGAACACAATGTAACTGTCACACTTGATATTTACCACAACCATGCTTTTTGCACTCAACAAAGGGTAGAAGACTGTACGTATATGGAAAGAAACATTTCAATACTGTATGTTTGTTGTTACAACATCTTTGAATGTATAGAAATTGTATCTGTCCATATTCTTTTTACAATAGAACTACTGAAAATGCACAAGCTGTCTTTCACATGGAATATAAGAAGCTTAGAAGAGTGTTAACTAAGCATATCAGGCAAACACAAAATGAAAATAAAAAATAAAGATGACAAAAATATTGTGACCCCTTTAAAACTATCTGCTATATTTTAATGTGAACTTTCTCGGACCAGTCCATTTCCTCAGACATAAGTGCTGGACTACATGGCAAATACTTATACATTTATACATGGCCCCAAATCAGAGACTATATCTGGGCACAAGTTGACCCAGCAATGACTTTTAAAACCCATGTTAATATTCAATGTCCCTCCCAAGAAGTATTGTTCTGTAAACAATTACAGTGATTAGTGGTTAAATTCATCCCAGACTATAGATAAAGAGCAGGAAGAATATGGTAATAAGTATCTCTAATCACCAATGGGGTTTGTGAAGGCCCAACTGCTTTCACTACTGGAAATCAAGAAACAGCAATAGTCACACAAGACACACACACCCTTCCTGTAATTATTGCTGCCACCAGTGGCTATTTATGAGTTATTCAGTTAGTGGAAGGAGAAAGAAATATATCTGATTATGCATAGGTTCTGAAGTCAAGAACCTCATAAAAGATGGGCAGTGTCATCATGTTGAAGTCATGGATTATATTAATACCATGGATCACATAAACATGTCCAAATTGAAATTATGTCTAGGGAAGGAAAACACACAAGAGGAAAAGGTGGAGCTGCAATGTATCTGCCAACCTTTTTCTGACACTCAGCAATCAAAGGGGACCTGCCCTTGTTGCAGCCTCTTACCCATGATGCCCTTTCCAAGGGCAGTCTTTCCATTTAAAACTACTGTTGATCATTTTAATACCAAGAATCAGAAAGCACAGCAAACATAGAAGTTTGATTTTTTATTCATTCATTCATTCATTCATTCATTCATTCTATTTATACCCTGCCTATCTGGTCATTGCGACCACTTTTTTTCATTTTAGATTCATGGGATAGCAGCATACATTGATTTTTCTCCATTTAAGTAGTACAGTGGTGCCTCGCATTACGAGCGCTCCGTTTGACGACAAAATCGCATCATGACGAAGATTTTGCGATTGCAAAAGCGATTGCAAAACAATGTTCCCTATGGGGGAATTTCGCTTTGTGATGATCAGTCCCATGTTTCGCTAACCAATTATCGCAAAGCGATGATTTTCGGCCAGCTGATCAGCGGTTTCAAAATGGCCACCAGATGAAAAACATGGCCGCCCGCTGTTTTCTGACGCGGATTCCTCGCTGCACGGGCAGCGAAAATGGCCGTGCTATGGAGAATCTTCGCTGGATGGTGAGTTTTAAGCCCCTAGGAACACATTAATTGGGTTTTAATGCGTTTCAATGGGCTTTTAAAAATCGCATGCGGTTTTCGTTCGACAGCGATTTTTTTGGAATGAATTAACGTCGTCATGTGAGGCACCACTGTATTTTATATGCAGCTAACCCAGGAATATAGCTTATCATTGACAGACACAAGCCATTTCATCTTCCTGCATGACTGAGACAAGGTGATGGTACCATATTTCCAGTCATTCCCATGGACATCTGACAGCTTCTTTTCACTTTCACATTTCACTTCAGACATACTTCTCTTGGTTCAGCCAGCTACCAAGGTAACTCCCTTACACCACCTTCCTTTCCTATTGAAATCCCACAATGCCTCAGCAGCATTTTACCAACAGTTGACCTTCTGCGATATAAAAGAAATTGACTCTGGAAAAGCCATGTCTTTTAGCAGCTGGCTACTTCAGCCTGCTGAAAATACAAATATTTCATTTTGAGCAAATATGCGAGAAAAGCTAGCTATATATACAACAGATAAGGCAAGCTCACAATAAGCACAGTATGTAAATAGCCAAACATATACTAATTTGATTAATGACAAGTTAGAAAAATGGCAAATAGTCTTATCCTAACTATATACAATCCCAACTCTTTCCAACTTATTATTTAGGTCCTGCTGAACCTGGGCCCATTAAACCCAGCCCTGATATCCTGGTGTTCATTGGTGCCAAAGGAAGAATTTTTCCCACTTAGCTTTAATACCATACAGGGGACAATTTTCCATTTTTAAACGCCCAGCTGGGGAGGGGAGGAATGATAAACCCTTACTCTCAAACTATAAGTGGATGATTCTTTAAAAAAAGAAAAGGAACTTGCACCTCCCATTCAAATTGTTGGTGGTGAAGAGGCTGTTCATTCACCCCAACAGTTAGGAAAAGAGACCCCCAGGAGGTCTCCGATGGTGGTGGGGGACCCCGGGAGGTCTCCCAGGCTTCCCCGCCACCATCGGAAACTTCCTGGCGGTCCCCCGCCACTGTGATTGGTGCCTTTTGAGGTCTCCGGAGGTCTCCTGGGGGTCCGATCGCGGCGGCGGGGGAGCAATTTTAAATTTCCCGCTCTTTTACGCCGCCACGATCAGACCCCCAGGAGGTCTCCCAGGGCCTCCCCGCCGCCATCGGAGACCTCCTGGTGGTACCCCGCCATTGCTGATCGCCGCCTTCAGGCTTTCCCGGGGGGCAGATCGTACCAGGGGAGGGCTTCCCCTGGTAGGCCTGGTCTACCCCCCAGGAAAGCCTGAAGGCGCTGATTGCAGTGGTGCGGGACCTCCAGAAAATCTCCGATGGCGGCAGGGAAGCCCTGGGAGACCTCCCAGGGATGCCATGCTGCTGCAATCGGAGGCAACGGTCACCCAGCGCCGGGAGGCTTGAGCTGGCTGGGCACTTGGCTGCTCGCCCCCCAGAGAGCTGGCCAGGTTTCTTCAGCTGCTCACCTCCTGCTTGCTCCTCGCTGCCCCCGCCATTTGAATTTCCCACCATTGGCCTACGGAGGGTGGCGTGGAGAAAGTGGAAGGCGAGCTGGGAGGTGAGCGGCCGAAGAAACCCAGCCAGCCTCAAGCCTCCCAGCAGCGGCAGTCACAGCAGCAGTGGAAGCCCGGAGACTTTGGGAGGGTAAGGTGCTCCTTTTTCCTTTTAAAAAAACTGTTCTGGGTGGGTTTTGGAGGGTGGGGTTGGACTGGGGGGTTATGTTTCTGTGCTGTGTTGTCTTGTTTTTGGATTATTGATTGATTGATTGATTGATTGATTGATTGATTGATTGATTGATTGATTGATTGATTGATTGATTGATTGATTGATTGATTGATTGATTGCAGTCCCAGCGTGGGACTTGCTCTGTTGTATTTTTACTTTTATTTTTGGTATTTTTTTGAAATGCTGGAACAGCTTAACCCGTTCCCATGCATTTCAATGGAAAATGGTGCTTCGACTTACGAACAATTTGACTTACGAAAGCCGCTCCAATAGGGATTAGGTTTGTAAATCGAGGTACCACTGTATGGGGAATTAACATATGAGGAATTTATTCCAATGAATCAATTCCACATCTGCCCCTTTGACAGAAGAGGAGAAAAACTCACTCCCTGACACAGTACTCCACATGTGCATGTACCTCATGTGTACACTTTTTTAGCTGAAGGTTCAGTTGTGTAAAGTCATAAATCTGCAGCACACACAGAAACAGCCTCACAAACTGCAGAGCCTCACAAATTGCAGGACTATCCTCCCACACACCCTTATCTCCATGACCTCTTCCCCTACCTCTCTTCCCAGATTCCCATCTCTGAGCTATTCAGATCCAGTTCCATTCTCCCCTTTCACCAACTCCCACCTCAAAAACCTTCCTTCACCTTTCTTTCTTCCAGCCAGCTGGCTTCCACCTCTCCTCTCCCTCCCTCTTCACAAAAGCTTACGTCAAATACTACCCAAACTGTACCTACAACCAACAAACCTGCAACCATTCTATGTGCACGAACAGGTCAAGAAAACCAGGACCAAACATCCCTATTTCAGGTTCTTTGTGTGCACATCTCCGTACCTCTGACTCACTTCTGCCTTCAAGTCTTCTAGCTCATTTAGGCATGGCGTGACAGGTACATGCAGTTCCAAATGGCTATATTTTGTCCCAGAGAGCAACTGGCTCTCAGTAGTAAGCTGACCTTCATAGACAAAAAATATATTTGGAGTGTCTGACATCTGGTCTCCTATTAATCTTCTGTGCCATTATTAGAAAGACAAGAAGGCAGAAGCCACCCAAACACCTGGTTATAATGACTACAAACTGATCATGACAGAATCTCTGCACATGTTCTTAATTACACAAACTATCTTTATGTCAGAAATGGGGGCCTGCAAGTCTGAAAGTCCCATTAGTCCCAGTCTGCACACCACAATGCAAGATCCAGAGGGCCACAGCTGCCCACCCCTGTACTAGACTAACTACACATTATACCATCCTGAACACACAGGTGCATTTGTTACATATTCAAGTTTGATTTTTTTTCCATGGAGGGGAAATGATGCCTTTCTACTTACATTTTAAAGCATTGAAAGCCAATTCATATGACAAACGCTGGAACTGTTCATCTTTGAAATCTGGAAGAGATGGCAGTGGCCCACTCCCATATTTTACCAATATTTTATCTTGAGGCTTTTCATTATGAATGCCTTGAAAAATGTTGGCAGCATTTAAGTAAACAGAGTCCTGATAGCCACTCTTCTCTGTCAGACTTGTTGAACTTTTTTCAGATGGTATTGCTTCATTTGAAGAAGTCATTTCCTGGACAGTTGAAGTATCACTTGCAATATTATCAACTGAAGGCACCACACTGCTTCTTAGAATTGGCATTATTTTGCAATTGATGTATCAGTAAATTACAGGATAACAAATCAGGATTCAAGATCCCTGTGAAAATATGAATCAAGCTTTGTATGAATTACAAGAAATCAAGTGAGAAAGCCTTAGATAGATAAAGGCTTGCCTTAATAAGAGGAAACACTACTTGTAATCTGCCTCCTTCAACATCATAGGGTTTGTTCCAGACACAGTATTTATTCCTCAGTGCTTTGTCCTGGTTGCCGACAGTTAGTGTCAAGTAAGTACAGAACTCACCTAGATATCTGTACACACTACTGTACTCCACTTCTCTTTCCACAGAAATCAACTGCTAAGTTACCCCAGAGATCAGCTATCTTTAAAAAGTACTCTTTTCAAAATGTGGAGGTATCCTTAGAAACAGCCCTCACTTTATCTTTTTCCAGAAAATACATTTTTCCAAACCTGTACTGTACCTCAACATATAGGATCTCAAAAAGACTGGCACGAATCCAAAGACAAAAGGGAGATGGAAGGGCTGGGACATTAGCAGATAATGAGAAAATTGCTTTTTTGGACTATGACTACTAGAACTTGTCCTGAAAAAAGGTTATGCTGGCTGGGGGATTCTAAGAGCTGTAGTCCAATAAGTACCGTATTTTTCACACCATAAGACGCACTTTCCCTCAAAAAAAAACATTGAGGAAAAAGTGTATGCGTCTATGGAGTGAAATTCCCAGATTATTTTTTCCTGTTTTTTTCGCCTAAAAATTTGGTGCGTCTTATGGAGAGGAGCTTCTTATGGAGCGAAAAATACGGTAAGTTTCCCAATCTCTGGACACCACAAGTTATCCAAGGCCTTTTTCTCCCTCTGCATCGTGTAAGCACAGGCTGGGAGGAAGGAGTGAGATTTTAACAAGAGCAAAGAGAGTATAAATTGGAAAGGTGGGGAAGCTTTCTTTGCACTTGTTCACAAATCTTCAATTCCAGTTAAGGATTACATAAACATATCTAAATGTTCTTAATGTACGTATGTTTGAAAGGCCAACATTTAAGTTCAAAACTTTTGAAAACAGATTCCTGTAGCAATAGTTCATATTCATTTTGTTGCTTTGTCGTTAAGTTGTGTCCGACTCTTTGTGACCCCATGGACCAGAGCACGCAGGTCCTCCTGTCTTCCACTGCCTCCAGGAGTTTGGTCAAATTCATGCTGGTAGCTTTGATGACACTGTCCAACCATCTCGTCCTCTATCGTCCCCTTCTCTTCTTGCCTTTACACTTTCCCAACATCAGGGGAGTCTTTTAATTTTGTGGCTGCTGCCACCATTTGCAATGATCAGGGAGCCCAAGAAAGTAAAATCTGTCACTAGCTCCATATCTTCCCCTTCTATTTGCCAGGAGGTGATGGGACCAGTGGCCATGATCTTAGTGTTTTTTTTTTTTATGTTCAGCTTCAGACCATTTTTTGCGCTCTCCTCTTTCACCCTCATTAAGAGGTTCTTTAATTCCTCCTCACTTTCTGCCATCATCTGCATATCTGAGGTTGTTGATATTTCTTCCAGCAATCTTAATTCTGGCTTGGGATTCCTTCAGTCCAGCCTTTCACATGATGTATTCTGCACAGAAGCAGGGAGACAAGATATAGCCTTATTGTACTCCTTTCCCAATTTTCAATCAATCAGTTGTTCCATATCCAGTTCTAACTGTTGTTTCCAGTCCCACATATAGATTTCTCAAGAGGTAGATAAGATGGTCAGGCACTCCCATTTCTCTAAGAAATTCCCATAGTTTGCTGTGGTCCATACAGTTAAAGGCTTTTGCATAGTCAATGAAGCAGATGTTTTTCTGGAACTCTCTGGATTTCTCCATAATCCAGCTCATGTTAGCAATTTGGTCTCTAGTTCCTCTGCCCCTTTGAAATCCAGCTGGGAGTTCTAGGTCCACATACTGCTGAAGCCTACCTTGGAGGATTTTGAGCAGAACCGTCTTAGCATGTGAAATGAGTGCAATTGTACAGTAGTTGGAGCATTCTTTGGCACTGCACTTCTTTGGGGTTGGAATGTAGACTGACCTTTTCCAATCCTCTGGTCACTGCTGAGTTTTCCAAACTTGCTGGCATATTGAGTGTAGCACCTTAACTGCGTCATCTTTTAAGATTTTAAATGTAGTTAAACTGGAATGCCATCACCTCCACTGGCCTTGTTGTTAGACAAGCTTTCTAAGGCCCACTTGACTTCACTCTCCAGGATGTCTGGATCAAGGCCAGCAACCACATTATCTGGGTTGTCCGGAATATACAAATTTTTCTGGTATACTTCCTCTGTGTATTCTTGCCACCTCTTCTTGACGTCTTCTGCTTCTGTGAGGTCCCTACCATTTTTGTCCTTTATCATGTCCATCTTTGCACAAAATGTTCATTTAATATCTCCAATTTTCTTGAATAGATGTGTGGTTTTTCCCTATTATTTTCCTCTAGTTCTTTGCACTTTGTTTAAGAAAGCCCTCTTGTCTCTCCTTGCATTCAATTTTCTATAACTTTCCCTATCTCCCTTGCATTTGGTTTTCCTTCTCTTCTCTGCTATTTGTAATGCCTCATTGGACAGCCACTTTGCTTTCTTGCATTTCCTTTTCTTTGGGATGGTTCTTATTGCTGCCTCCTGTACAATGTTACGAGCCTCCATCCATAGTTCTTCAGGTACTCTGTCCACCAAATCTAATTCCTTAAATCTGTTCTTCACTTCCACTATGTATTCATATGGGATTTGGTTTAGATTATACCTGACTAGCCCAGTGGTTTTTCCTACTTTCTTCAGTTTAAGCTTGAGTTTTGCTATAAGAAGCTGATGATCAGATCCACAATCAGCTCCAGGTCTTGTTTTTGCTGACTGTGTAGAGCTTCTCCATCTTTGGCTGCAGAGGATATAATCAATCTTATTTCAGTATTGCCCATCTGGTGATCTCCATGTGTAGAGTCACCTCTTGTGTTGTTAGAAAAGAGGGGTTGTGATGACCAGCGTGTTTGCTTGACAAAACTCTATTAGCCTTTGCCCTGCCTCATTCTGAACTCCAAGTCCAAACTTTCCCATTGCTCCTTTGATCTCTGATTCCCTACTTTAGCATTCCAATCTCCTAGAATGAGAAGAACATCTTTCTTTGGTGTCAGTTCTAGAAAGTGTTGTAAGTCTTCATAGAATTGGTCAATTTCAGCCTCCTCAGCATTGGTGGTTGGTGCATAAACTTGGATTGCTGTGATGTTGAAAGGTCTGCCTTGGTTTCTTATTGAAATCATTCTATCATTTTGGAGATTATAACCCAGTACAGCTTTTCCCACTCTTTTGTTGACTATGAGGGCTACTCCATTTCTTCTACAGGATTCTTGCCCACAATAGTAGATATTATAATTGTCTGAATTGAATTCGCCCATTCCCGTCCATTTTACAGTAGTTCACTGACACCCAGGATGTCAATGATGATTCTTGCCATCACCTGTTTGACCACATCCAGCTTACCAAGGTTCATAGATCTTACATTCCAGGTTCCTATGCAGTATTTTTCATTGCAGCATCGGACTTTCTGTTCACTTCCAGGCGCCTTGGCAGCTGAGAGTCCTTTCAGCTTTGACCCAAACACTTTAGTTCTGGAGCTATTTGTACTTGTCCTCTGCTCTTCCTCAGTAGCATGTTGTACGCCTTCCGACCTGAGGGGCCCATCTTCCAGCGTCATATCTTTTAGCCTTTTGTTTCTGTCCATGGAGTTTTTTTGGCAAAGATACTGGTGTAGCTTGCCAGTTCCTGCTCCATGTGGATCGCCTTTAGTCAGAACTCTCCACTGTGACCTGTCTGTCTTGGGTGTCCCTGCACAGCATAGCCCATAGCTTCTCTGAATTACTCAAGCCCATTTGCCATGACAAGGCAGAAATCCATGAAGGGGTCATATTCATTAGACATGTGCAAAACAAAATAAAGACTATAGTTGTCCAACTTTGATCAACTTCAGAAACTGAACATAGTAGCAAATAAATGAAATTATGGAACACACAATATTCTTCCCTCTTTGAAAAAGGGCAGTGGAAATCTTTAATACAATACGTAAGATCCTCTTCAGAAACCTGATATAGAAACCACAGTGCCAGTAATTACTTGTACCAGTTGAAGTACAAGAAGTGCTTTAAATGCCACAATTTGTAACAGGAGCCAGTCAACAACACTGCTAGGTGCAACAAAGTCATTAGCCAGCACAGAAAGAAATAATGGTGATGTGACTGGAGATCATAACATGAAGCTAAGATTTTGCACTTTGTCGTCAGTTAGCATTTTCTTTTGTTTCATCAAAATAAGGTAAACAGAGAGTATCATCTATAATATAATCTGCTATTGTCAACAGCTTTTAGAATGATGAACATAGAATGTGTACCTCAGAACTCCAACAGGTAAATTATGATTCCAGGATAAAACTAACAGTCTTTAGTTACACACTTCACAGAAAATTACACTGTAGCTATATGTGAGCAAACTGGCATTTGGCACACAGAAGCTATGCTAAGTAACATCTGTGATTAATATGACTGGACAATGATTTAATTCTGAAATAAATCCTGATGTCTTAGTTGAGTTTATTAAATGTATGCATTACTTCACATAATTAAAAAGTCTTAAAACTAATTACAAGAAAATAAAATATGAAGAATTACATTTATATTAATTAGGTAAGTATCTATCCAAAAAAATCACCTAGAAACATCTTCATCCAAGTATAATTGTGAACAGAAGAAATAACCACAAACCAATCCAGTGGGGGGAAAGCAAAATGCCTGGCACCAAGAAGCTGACAAAACTACCAGCACTCCATACTTGTATTCAGCACTTTGTGTCACATTTATCTTTGTTTAACTATTTATAATTGGCTGAAATCCTATCTGCACAAGTTCCAATATGTAAGGTTGATGATGCCATCAGCTGGGTCAATTTTTCAGATATTTAACACTTCCTACTTTTGTCCCAAGACACCTGCAGCTTATGTGCAATCCCTTACATTGTTGGGAGCCTGTGGAGACAATAGGACAAGAGGAGGAAATCTTTTAACTGTTGAAAATCACCACCACCAGGATAATTTTACCTGCAGCAACTGCCTTCAGTAATTAAATAAGTCCTCCTCCCCCATCACAACTACCACAGGTTCTTCATAATGAAAGATATTACAGTGGTGCCTCCAGAGAGAAGAAATTTTTAATTTACAAAAAAATGTCTTGGGTGATTATGCCATCAGCCTTATGCAGCATAGCTTAGCAGAATAGGGTTTCAGTCATAATGATGTAATGTAACAAGGGTCCTTCCCTCAATAACATACAGAAGTAATACCAGTTTTACAGAGACAACAGTGTTGTTTTAAAATCAAATGCAATGCAGTAGAAACCTACCAAAACCCTTTCAGAAATAAATGTTACAGACAACTTCAGCCAAAGGAATTTCCTATATGGTTGGTACCTATGTAAAACAAAAATTCCTATATCCATTAACACACGTACTTTTATATCACAATCAAGCACAACCTTGATTGGTAACAAATTACATCATATGCACATGTTCTTAATAGCATCAAACAACAGATGAATATTTTCAACAAAAATTCCTCAAATACTTTTTGAATAATCTGCTAGTGTTATACTGTTTTCCACAAAGAATCCATCCCCAAATATACAACATATTGTATCAAATGAAGCAAACATGGCAAGCAAAAAGATACCTGAACTTCATTGCCATCAGAAAACCTATATGGATTTAACATTCCAACCGTTGCCAGGTGAATTTCTCCATGGGTCCAACCATCCCCTTTGTAGGAAAAAAAAGTTACATGGGAATCAGCCAAGGGGGAAAACTCATATAACAAAGGAATATTATTTCTCTAAGGCAACCCAAACCTTCTCCCCTTAAAGTTCTTATCTTTGTATTGTATTCAAATTGTTGTAAGCTGCCCAGAGACCTTTGGGTAGTGTAGGCGGCATATAAGTTAAATAAATAAATAAATGATAAACACTTAGAGATCTCTAGCAGAGTGTCCTGGGAAATTCAAGTGCTTTGAAATTTGCTTTTATGCTGCCAAGTGTTGCCATCCCTGAAGCCTTTGTGATAATTTTTTTCCTCTTGTATAGGCATTGTCCCCTTTGCCCAGTGTAGAATGCAGAGGGATATTTGCTAGCAATTGATAATAATAATAATAATAATAATAATAATAATAATAATAATAATAATAATAATAATAATAATAATAAAAGTCTCCAACTTGAACTTCTAATCTCAAAGATAGAACAACTTTCAAAACACAGACAGACAGGCAGACAGAAACCTTTATTGGCATAATGTACAAAATTAAAACACACTAAAATGCAGATAAAACATTCAACAGCTAACATGTGTCAGGGAACAGCCAAATGCATATTTAGGGCTCAGCATTCTGCGACAGCATGCTGCGTTGCCTCTGCATGATGGAGTAGATGTATCTGGCTAGTGCCACCTAGGCAGCGTCAAATTTTTCTCAGGTTGTCCCATCCAGAATGGGAGGAAAGGAGAGTGCTCAAATAAGACAGGGGGATATCCTTACACAAGATACTTCCAAAACACAATGGAAATGAATTTATTTATTCATTCATTTAATTTCTATGCCGTCCATCTGGCTACAAGGTCACTCGAGGTAGTTTACACTCAATGAGACAATAACTCATAAAATATAAAACATAATTAAATGAAACAATTTTGGCTTTTCGGCACCAAGCAAAGACCTTTCTGTTTAGCCAGCATTTTAATGAAACAGAATTCTCTAGCTGGCCACATGAGCAGCAGGACTTACTAATATTAATGTTTTAAGAATTGTTTTAATATAGGATTTTTATAGGTTTATGTTGTGCTAAGTACCATAATTTGAGGATATTTAAACAGTATCCACCAGAAGAATGAATGAATGAATGAATGAATGAATGAATGAATGAATGAATGAATGAGAATAAAATACAACATTCATTTACCAATATAACATAATTATACAAAGTCAAACACAAAATCAAAATAAACATACAGAGTAAATAAAATCAACAAACATAAATAACAATTTGAAAGGCAAGATTATAAATTAAGAGATAAATCCTAGAAATTTATAGGAGTCCTAGAAGAGGTTATTTTTGTTTTTCTCCGGCAGAACCTTCTGCATCCTTTTGAGTAATTGAAAGGGAGACAGAATTCCCGCAGATTCAGATCCTTCCCGCGACGCGATATTCAGAGAGGGACAGAAGGCACCACCTGTTGAATTTCTAATAAGTTACCCCTATTATTTTAAAGCAACGAAAGCGGGTTTTTTAAATTACAATTTCACCTGCGAGTCTTTCAAATGCTCACTCCCCCCCCAAAAAAAAGTACTAGTCCAGTTCTTGCCCAGCCTCCCCATCACATATACACAAACACGCACACACGCAAGCGCGCCTGCACACACGGTTCTTCGCGTGCCTCAGGAACCATATACTACGTGGGTGACAGAAGGCTGTTTGCCCAACAGCTACCGTCGTGGAGGGAACCGCTCCCTGAAGCCTACAGGAGAAAGCGGCACAGGGTAACCACCACCCCTCCGCCGCTGCCGCCGCCACATCCCGCGCCTCACCAGAGTAGGTCAGGGAGCGGCTACCGGGCCCACAAGCGACGCCCCGCGACCTCTCCCTCCAGCGCCAAATCTTTACTGGGTTGGTACGGACCCCTCCAGGAGGGGAGGGGCAGGGGCATCGCCTCGCCCCGCCCACATGCCACACCCACCGCCGCGGAGGAGCGGGAGGGGAGGGAGGAACTCCAGCAGCCGTTTCATTCAAATCAGGTCCCTACCACTACCTCCCTGGAAGCGGGGGGGGGGAAGAGGAGGGAGGTGTGGGCTCCATATTTGTTCAACTGATAAATATAATGCCCCTCCGAGACATATACATGTTCGGGGTTTGCGGGCCAGCCAATTTAAAGTTTTCTTCTCTTTCTACTTTTTTCACGTCTACCTATTTCTTTCGCCCGTTCTGGTATTTGGTACAGCCTGCGTGATGTTCTTTCTGTGGCTACTGCTGGGCCGGTTGCGATAACCCCCCTTTTTTTCTGTTTGCTCTTCTCTCTCTTGGCAACCGTGGCGGGACTGAGGGTGGGGAGACAGGGCGACGTTAAGGGAGAAGGAAGCTACCACACAGCAATAGTAACCCTGGGTTTTCTGGTGTGTTTTAATCCAGAAATGCATCGCTCTTTGTCCTTCCTCTGAGAATCAGAACGTGAGGAGAGTTCTGCGACCCGAGAGCCCAGCAAGTGAACTCGCTTCTCGCTCCGCCGGAACCTTCTCACGGTGGCCAACGACACGGTTCAAGAGAGCACTCTGAATTTGGGAGTGTGACCTAGAGTGCTAAAACTTCCAGAATCTCCCGTCACAGATTCGGAGACTTTATTCCGAAAAAGTAACGTTCCCAAGATGTGACTAGGACGTGAAAGCAAGCCCCTTTTCCATCACTGATTCCACCAGTTGTGCCAATTATGGGTCTTTGGACTTTCATAACGCTACTATGACTATTTATTTAAATACGTTTTTAAATCCCCTCCAAAGCAATTTACTATAAACCATAACAAGAAACTGCAGGTATCATTCTCTCCCCAACAAAAAAACTACAAAGGCAGCGGGGAGGGGGAGGCGGATCAGGTATTATAATATAATTCTCTAAAATTAAAGACATTGGTGTTGTGGTAAATTCAGAAATGTGGGTACTCTTCATGACAGCCAGCTCCCCCTGAAAAAATATGGATATTCTAAAAACAGGAAGTCGAATGAGTCCATACCAACGAATTGGTTTTGCTACATTTGTAGCAAATGCTACTTGAACGGACTACCTTAGTGGCACATTCAAGACCAAATCACCCTCAGAACTGTACATGATAGCAGAGATGGATGGGGAACATATCATGGAAATCCCATTTATTTTCCTGGTGCAAGGATTATGGTAAGCCTTGAGACAATGGATAGCAGGGAGACCTGAAGATGACATACATAGACCCTGCTACTCAGAAAATCCTGGCTCTGCTCACACCACTATACAGGGAACAGCACTGATTCCTAAAAGCGCTGCAAGCCAATAAAGCTTTTACCAACTATTGAAAAGATAATAACATGATTAGCTAACCTTATTTCCCTCCAGATAAAATTCAGAAGATAGCTGGTGGTATGTCCCTGAGCATCTCACTCCTGCCTTGAAGTTCCAGCAATTGGCTGGTTCACTCTGCTAAATATTAGATCTGGCCTTGCAAATGGAAAAGTACGATCTTCATTTTACCTTCTATCATCTGAATCATTATACTTTTTAATCAAATCAATTCATACATTCAACTGCAAGTCAATAAAGCAAAAGTGATACAGTTATATGCAAGTGTCTACAAACCTCTATTATTGTGTAGTACATGGTGTACTACACAAGGTGTCACTGTATGAAATAAATGTTTTTATGTAAACTGGCACAGTCATCATTACAAATGCCAAGAGGAAGAAAGGTAACAAGTGAGGTAAGATTTTACAAATCTTTCTTCTCTGTGTGAACTTTACAGTAGTAGAGAAGGGGAGGGACTTTCCAGAAAGATTACAAGGGGATAAGCAATGTTACTTAGCAATATGTACTTAGTTACTGATGAAATATGGGAACTATACTTGAACTAAAGAATAGAAGTGTTCTTATTCTAAAACCAAAGTGTAAACAACTCCTGAGATCATTTTGTACTTCACCTAACCCCCTCTGCACATTTTCACTGTGCTCTGTAACAGTTGCCATTACAGTATTGCTTCAAATAGGGTGTGTTATTGAGGCAGAGCCAGCCCTACAATGAGAAAGATGGAGGCACTTTCCCTAGGCAGCATATCTGCTTTCTCATTAAACAAGAACAAACTATTAGTTTTGGTTCCTGTTACATGCCATGACCTCTGACTTATGGCAACTTTTTGAATGAATGTCCTCCAAAATGTCCTGTCCTTCACAGCCCTGCTAAAATTCTTGTGAACTCAAGGCTGTAGCTTCCTTTATGAAACCAATCCAGCTTATATTTGATCTTCTTTTCCTACTTCCTTCACCTTCTCCTAGCATTAATAACATTTTTTCCAGTAAGTCTTGCCTTCTCATGATGCACCCACAGTACAAAGTTTTGCATGTACTGTTTCTTTCCTGACTGATAGAAAGAGGGAAAGCAGACTTGACATCTCTTCCCACTAGTAATTCTAGAGGAGAGGAAGGTTGCGTTTTTCATTCAATTCTGAATTAATAGGGATTAGTGGTATGGGGGCATCATCTGAAAACATGAGAGGCCTGGTCAGCTGTAGGGTTGCCTGATTGTTGGTACCAGCCTTCCAGCTCATCTTACATTAATTTTAATTTGCATTTCATTAAGCATGTTTCCCTGATCATTTTTATACTAATATGTTACTTCTTAGCTATATGGAGAGACAGATCTTCCTGAGCCAAGAAGAATAAACAGTACTGCCTTTATAAAGAGATAGATTGTTCTCTTTCTCTCCATGATCAATGGAGATTGGTGTTACTGGGTAGCTGCCAAAGCCAAATTATGCCTCGTGGGCTCTGCAACTGCTTCTTCACTGCTTGTTCACCTTTCCCCAATATGCAGTGAAAGGAGAAGGAGCAGAAGAGGGCATGGAAACAGGCGGTGGGAAGAGTAGTGACTCCACTCAGAGAATATGTCCAGGGCACAGCTTGGGAAATTACATTTTGGACTACAACTCACAGAATCCTCCAGATAGCATGGCCACAGGGGATTCTAAAAGATGTGGTCCAAAAACTAACTTCTACCAGTTCTGGAGAAAAGTATCTACTAGGATAATGTTGACCAAGAATCCTCAAGATACAAAAACCAATACTGCTATGTTAAGAAGACAGAGAAGGACCACCTTTGTCCTATTGAGACAGTTTAGGGCAGTTATGGATTGTGGGGACCAGTGCAACATTTGCCCAGAAGTGATTATATGCCCTTAGTGTCCCCTGTGGTGGGAATGTGGGTCCACAGAGTCCAGATTTCCACCCAACATTTCCTTTATAATCATAGAAGACTTCAGTAGTATTGCTGTTGTAATAAAGAGTGTTGTTGTTTAGTCTTAAGTCATCTCCAACTCTTTGTGACCCCAATAAAGAATGTAGCATTAGGGTCAAAGGGGTAACAGCAGCTAATAGCGCATCATATTATGGATTGTGGGGATCAGGTGAAAAGTTAAAAAAAATACAGTACACTGATTTGAGGACTTAGGATTTTGCTGAAATGTTGAAAGGTTTACCAATGGGCACACCTAAAGTCACTGAAGCAATAGCATATGTGATACCTATGGCTGAAATCCTGTTGCTTAGTGTAGTAAGTTGCACTAGAGTAGACCTACTAAGTCAGTGGGGATTTGGTGAGTTACCTCTTCCATAAACTCCTTTGATTCAAATGGACATATGTAAGCCACAACTACAGTAGGCCCAATTGGATCAGCAGAACTTAAAGAAGAGTTGGCTTACCAAATCCCCACTGATTCAGTGGGACTACTCTAGTGCTATGCTTCCTTAACTAAGCAACAGGCTTTCAGCCGGCATGTGATGGGAAAAAAATGAAACATGAGGAAGTCTTATGGTTTGCATATGAATTTTTTTACCTTGGAGTACAACATTCCCTGGAATGTTGATGGGTCTTATTCCACAATCCCAATCAAAGCCTGAAAAAACTATATTTTTGGACTACAGCTCCTAATTTCCCAGGAGCAGAAGCCACAGTGGCTGGGATATTTTGAGGATCTGAAAAGGGGATTTTTTTTCAAGCTCTGATTCAAATATATAGGTTGTGGCACTAGCCCACATTAAATGAGTCCCATCTTTTAAAAGGGAAACCAGAGCATCATGGACAAAATAAGATTTCAAGCATCTCCCCTTGATGACATATCATTAATATTTGGAATGTGTTATCCTGCCTAAAAAATATTCTTTAACATGTCTTAGATTTCATAACTCAGGAGTCAGGGGTGCATGAAGGGAGCAGATCTCATTTCAGAGTACTGTACTGAATTTCACCTTTGGCATCATATTCTGCTTTCTGCCGGTGCCCAGAGAGTTCCACTAAAGTCAAAAGGATAATGTCACTGGGAATATTACATATATTTTCAAAACAAGGTATAAGCCCAGAGGGATAAATGTAATACTTCAGGCATACCTCAGCGTTTGAGAAAACTTGAAACAATGGCATGCAGTGGAGGCCCAGTGCCCTACCCAGTCACTTGAGAATGGGGTGACCACTTACTCATTGCCTGCCCCAAAAGAGAGGACCAAAGAATGTATATATTATCATATGTGCATATCATTATTTATATGCATTTATGGACATATGGAAATAATTGTTATAATTTAAACAGAACATGGTACAGCTCTTCATGCTGGGCAAGACTGTGGGAAGGTAGGGTGACTACTAATATATCACCAGACACACCTAATTTATGAAAACAGAGATGCACCTTTCACAGACATAATTCATTAGTGATCCCCAAGAGGCTTCAGTAGCACTTTGAAGCAGCAGCTCAATCTCAGATGGCTTAGAGCAGGGGTCTCAAACTCAATTTACCTGGGGGCCACTGGAGGCAGATTCTGGGTGAGGCTGGGCCGCATCAGGTTTTCCGCCAAGCGGAGCAAGAGCCCGAGGAAGCCACCCAGGAGTTTCCATAATGTAGTGTTTTTATCACCTAGAATTGTCTATTTATATTTTACTGTATTATTTGCGATTGTTAGCTGCCTAGAGTGGTCTTCGCCCAACCAGATAGGCGGGA